TTTGAATTTGTAATGTTTGAATAAAATAAAAAAATTTAATCGTTATATTGTTGATCTTAATTAATTAATTACAAAATAATATGATAAAAATTAATTGTATAAGATTATTTAAAGTAAGATATAATTTGTATATCGGTATCAAATTTTGTAATTAACTAAAATGAGCCTATAACCTTAGATACAAAATCTTTTACCTTACTTAGGGTTGATTATTACGTTAAAATATGTTTGATGATAAATTATTTTTATTTATTTGTAATATTAATAAATATAATTAATTAGTGAACAATTAAATAAAAAATAAAAAATAATTAGTTTATAAACAAATGATATATCCAAGGAAAAAAAAAATCACGTGGATAAAATATGTATTATTTTTTAATATAACGTAATATATATTTTAATATTATATCAAACATAAATTAAAATCTAAAATTTGAACATAATCAAAATTTGAATAAAGGCTGATCTAAAACCAACGAAATATGTAATTAATTTACAAAAAATGGATAAATCCAAATTAAGCGTGTGTATATATATTACTTAAGCATGTGGGTATATAGGATTACTTAATGGACTAAATTTGTGTTTGTATATGTGTGTGTATATATATATTGTATGCAATTACACGCAATTATAGAAAAAGACGTACGCTAGCCAAGCAAAAGTAGGTTACATGACGGGATGATGATTGTTAATGTGCCTGTCAATTTATAAGTCTAATAAGTCTATCAAAGTATATTAACTATCAATGCTATGCATTAAATTCAAATTTTTCGATATGGGTTCAGTGTACAATTGTATTGGGTCTACAATTTCATGTTATATATAGTTGTAGATTTTTTTATAATATAAGATTTCAATTATTTATCTTTTATTTCGGACCAATATTTAAATAGTTTATCCCATACATGCATTTTGTATTTTTAATATAATGTATACAATTTTATCTTTTTTGCAAATTTTTTAATATAATATAATATAAATTAACAGTTAAAAATTCGATTCTTATTTAACATAATAAGATTTTTTTATGTTTATGAATTTATATTATATAAGTTATTAAAATGACATATACTTGAATGAAAATTAAGAATAAATAATTAAATTAGATTAATATAAATTTTAAATAGATTTTGGAATTTTTATTTATACTAAAAATAAATTTTCAAAATTATTTCGAATTTTAGGATTTAGGCAAAAAGACCGTTCAAAATCACGGAGAAAAACAGCTGATTTGACGTTCGAGGCCTCCGGTTCCACTACTGCCGTCAGCGTCTCACCGTCTATTGCGCCGTTTTTGGCAGGTAAATTTCTAATAAAAGTTTTTGTTATTTTAATTTAACTTTATTATAACACCTTAAAATAATAGTTAACAATAATAATATTTTTCTAAAAGAATTTAAAATAAAAAAGGTCAAAGAGACATTTCATTTCTTTTTATCTCTCTTCCTTCTTCTCCACTCTCCCCCACTTCACCTCTTCTCTCAGTCTCTCTGCTTTTTCTTCTCTTTCTCTCTCTCTCTCTGTGCTTTTTTCTTTTTCTCATCTTTTTCTCCCGTGTCTTCCTCGTTTGAGTGACATCCAAGAACCAATACCTTCATCATCATTACATGTCCCTTTTAACTACCACTCTGCTTTTGCCTTTACTTTCTTTTTTTATATCTCTCAACCCATTTGAAATCAACAAAAATTAGTTTCCGGGTTTTCTTTTTTGATTCCTGATTCCTGATTCTGACTATTTTTCCTCATCTGGATCATCGAATTTTTTCCCTTCTCTACTTTCTCGAATTCATCTCCAACTGTAGCAATGGAGAAAGAGAAGGTGGTTGTCAGTGAAGGAGTTAATCAAACAGCACAACCCATCTGGAGTTCTTCCAGTTTTGGAATGGAAATTCAAAATTGTGGAATGGAGCAGCTACCCAATTGTTTTTTCAACCCTAATTGGGAGAATTCAGTGGATCAGAGCGATCCCTTTGAGTCCGCCTTGAGTTCTCTGGTGTCATCTCCGGTGACATCCAATGCCGCCGGCGACATTCTGCCCCCCGTCGGCGGAGTTGGCGGCGGTCTAATGATTAACGAATTAATTGGAAGAATAGGAAATATAGCCGGTTCCGGCGAGAAATCTCATCAGTCTTATATAATTAACAGCAATAGCCATGGCGGCACTAACAATTCTTGTTATAATAACCCATTGAATTCACCACCCAAGCGTAATTCACCGATGATGGTTTCACAGATCCGAGGAAATTTACCGATTCCTGGAAATCTCTTCCCTGATCACCCTAATTTGACACAATTTACCGCCGACCCGGGATTTGCAGAGCGGGCGGCGAGACTGTCGTGCTTTCGTAGTGGCATGAATGGCGGAACTGGATTGAATGGCGACTCAGTCGGTTTGAGTCACGGGTCGGTTCATAGAACTGAATCGAGTAAGCTCTCAAAGGTTTCGAGCAATCAATCCATTAAACTTGCTGGATCACTATTGAATGGCCAAGAAAGCAACAAGAGCTCGACTCAGGATCCTAATTCTGATGAGAAATTCAGTAAGGTTTCGAGGTCTTTGGTGCCAATCAATGGCGAATTTGTTGATTCCAGGGAGAATTCGTCAGTGTCTGAGCAGATCCCAGTCGTGGAATCGAGCTTCAAAGGCCCAAATGAAGGTAGTTCGAGGAAGAGAAAGTCGATTTCTAGAGGAAAAGCTGTAGAAACTCCTTCAGTATCTCCATCTGCTAATGACGCCAAGGTACCAAATCTCATAATTCTATTGCCAATCTTGTTTGGATTTGAATAAAATTTTCCACGAAAAATGAAATAGCAAATGTAATTTCAGGTTACAGCGGAGAACGACGAGTCCAGGGCGAAGAGAAGCAAAGAAGATCATTCCACCATCTGTGAAAATGAAAAAGTAAAACCAGAATCAAACGGGAATGATGGAAATTCGAAGCAGGGAAAAGATAATTCGAAGCCGCCGGAGCCTCCAAAGGATTATATCCATGTCAGAGCCAGAAGAGGTCAAGCTACTGACAGCCATAGTCTTGCTGAACGAGTACGAATTTAGAACTTTAACTAATCTTCTTGTACAATTTTACTCCGATCAATTTATATTTACAGCTTCTTTTGTTGAATCAGGTGAGGAGAGAAAAAATTAGCGAAAGAATGAAGTTTCTTCAAGATCTTGTTCCGGGTTGCAATAAGGTGAGCATATTGCAGGGTGGGTCGAATTCTGTTTGTTTGCAGAGGAAGAAGAAAATCAAAATCTGATTCTTGTCTTTTTTTGGTTGTAGGTCACCGGAAAAGCAGTGATGCTGGATGAGATTATCAATTATGTGCAGTCATTACAGCGGCAAGTTGAGGTAAACATCAAATCCATGGCTGACCAAAGATTATATATACTGATGATGATGAACTGATGATGATGATGATGTTTTACAGTTTCTCTCCATGAAATTGGCTACTGTAAATCCCAGGATGGATTTCAGTGTGGACACTCTTTTATCCAAAGGGGTAAGCTTGTAACTCAAATTTTCCCGTGTTATTCTACATTTTGACAAATTTACTCAACTCTTTTATGGGGAATTCAAATTACAGGTATTGCAACCTAGAGGATCTTTGTCTCAGAGTATCTTTCCAGTTGAATCTTCTTCAACCCCAGGATTCCCTTTTGGGTATCAACCTCGACAAGGGATGCCTCTATCTAACAGAGCAGAAACCCAGTTACCAATCAACTCACTCAGTGCTTTACTGCGTGGAAACCCTAGTATGCACTTGCCTTCCATTGATGGAAATGGGGAAGTTGCTCCTCAGGTGACTATTAAAGAAGAAGAAGTTGATTTTCTATGTTTGTGTGTATGTTTCTTGCATGATCTGAAAGTTGGGTATGTTTCATTTTTCAGGCTTCAATGCCTTGGGAAGATGATCTGCAAAGCCTGGTTCAGATGGGTTTTGGACAAAACCATGCACAGATTGTTCATGGTAAGAAAAATTTACAGAAAAATTAGTTCTGAGTTGGTAGAATTAGACTTCAGGTGTCTGAATTTTGTTGTTATATTTATTTTTGCAGGATCAATGGCTGCAGGTCACATGAAAGTTGAACTGTAATTACACCATTAAATTCAAGAGGCCTCCAAGTCTAACACAGAGAGAGGGAGAGAGTTTAAAGAGGCTTTGTATATAAGGAAAAATTAATCAAGGGAATATTTCTCTTGTTAATTTTAGACTCTTTTGTTAATGCAACTCATTCTTTGAAGAATTCTTACAAGAATTCATCACTGTAAAATCTTAGAACTAATTGCAATTGTTGATGGTGCAAAAGAATTTCTGCAGAAAGCACCATTTGTAATATCCAGCATTGGATGAAAGTCTGGTTGGAGGGCTGAAACGAGAGAAATTTGTAATTTCCATATATATACATACACACTTATATTTCAATTCTTTGGATTTGCATGAAGTTGTATTTTTTTCTTTTTTTTTTTTTTTTTTTTTTTAAATTGAGGGAATGAGGATACTTACAATTAGATTTTGCATGAAGATTTCTCATCTAGTTAAAGACAGATCATTTACCCGAGAACTAGAAAATCTATAGGGATTCTCTCTAATAGAACTATTAGTTAATGAACAATCCACCATTAGTTCATGAAGCATTAGAATGAATTTGACTTGATTTCACTGTTCTTGATTACTGGACAAAAAATCTGGTGAAGACCCTTGTGCTAATTCTGGTTGCTGGGAATGTTACATTGGCATGTACCCTTTTCCTTGCAATGAGAGCGTAGGAGGATCTTGATGTTTTTCACTTTCTCCTGGCATTTTCCTGGGAAACAAACGGAAACAGTGAAGTGAAAGTGATGTGTTCCAATTGCTTTCAGATTCAGCTGGAAAAATTTTGATGGGGGACCCAGAAATTGGAATGATATTATGTGAAGTTAAAATGGCGTAACTTGTGGGATTTATGTATA